TGTCCCCGCCCGCACCTCCCGGGAGTCTGGCCCCACCCGGCCACCGCCCCCCAACCCCTCTGCCCCAGATCTCCAGCCCCCCACTGGCAGGTGTGGTCCTGGTCGTCGTCCTCGGGAACAGGGTGCTCAGGGGCCTAGCATCCAGGCCCGGGCCAAGAGGCGCCTGTCGGTGGGAACAGGGCACGCAGCTCAGCGCTGCAAGGCTCAGCCCCTTCCTGCGGATGGAGGCCGGATGGACAAGCCCGCACCACCGAGCCCTGGATTCCAGGTTTATTTTGAGGCTTCTGGGTGCTGTTGTGCCCCTGATCTTCAAACCTTAGGGTCCCCATTGGATCCTGATAATCCGATGCACCCTGGCCGGTGCCTGCTATCCCTGGACGGTATTACAGTCAGCTTCTCTGACAGTGTTCCTCTGGCTCCTCCAAATGGAACTCAGAGAAGATTCCCCAGGCATGCTGATGGGGACTGCGGCGCCCCTCTGACCCTCTCTGAGGTTGTGATGAGGGACCACACTTATGCCTCTGTGAAGCTGACCCCAGCTCCAGCTGCCAGCATCTCTTGCATCCCTGACTTTGATCCTCTGGGGTTGAAGCCAGAGACTGCTGCCCTTTTTGAGTCCTGGGTTGTGTTCAGCCCTGATGGAAGAACTTCAGCCTTCGAGCTGTTGACTTTTAAAGATTTTGCCCAAAATGGCTGTATCTGACCCTCAACCCCAGGAAGCACAGAAGCTTCCAGATTAGCAACAATTCCAGGCTGGGCCTGTGAGAGTAGAGGTGCTTTGTCTCCTAGAAAAGACACGTTACCAAAGATGCTGGAGACTTTCTCCTGCTAGGACAACCAGGACTCCCAGCGAGTGGCTCCCAACGGCTGCCCATAGAATGTTGTAGTAGCTTTCAGGGAATCGCAGCCCACCCCTGAACACTGAAAGTTCTGTGGTCTCTGCCTTGGCCTAGATGCCACGGTTGCTGGTTGTTTCTGAGGTCACCCCCAGGGTATCTGCCCCTACAGTAATTTGGGGCAACATTGGATGTTGCTGAGAATCTGACCGAGCCCCTTCGTCCTCATATTGCATCTGGGCTTCCGAGTCACCGATCGTGGCTTCCACTGGGCATTGCTACGGCCACAACTGAGCCCCGGGAGTTTCTCACGCTTCTGCAGCTCCGGCACACCCCACCTCCCAGGCCACTGCTCATGTTGCAACAAGACCTCATGGAGTCTGTCAGCCAACTCGGCCTCAGGGATGCTTTTAACTTTGTTGATGTTTCTTAAAGTTGTTATCTATAGTGTGTATCTGCAAAGCAAAGAAATGTTAAAATCTTTAAAATATATATTTTAAAATATATTTAAAACAAGACAACAGGTCCAAAATGGAGGGTCTTGTGCTAAGCCCCATATCACAAAACAGAGACTTAATTGGAGTTTAAGCTGTCTCAGAAATGGAGGTTTAAACCAGCTAATCAGGAATCGCCTGACCAGTACTAGTTAGGTTATCTGCCTGCTAGACTCCCCCATCCTTTAAGTATCCCTGCAATACCCAACCCAATTTTTTGCCTAGTATAACTTCCTTGTTCCTGTTCCCTTCTGCCTGTGAAAGTCTTTCATTTCGGAGCTCCTTTCTATCTGCTAGATTGGATGATGCCTGATTTGAATTGATTTCTGCTCAAATAAACCCTTAAAATTTTACCACGCCTGTTTTTCTTTTAACAGTCTGAAACAGTGATTCAGAATAGTTAAAAGAACAAACAAAACTACGCCAAACAAAATACAAGCAGAGAGCAGGAGTCATGGGTCTTAATATCAGACAAAGTAGAATCAAAACTAAAGGGTACATAGAAAGGCTTTTTATCATGCCAATGGCTAAATTTCACCATGAACATACAGCCGTCATGAATATCCATGCAACTTTGACAAACTGTAAATTACTTTTCAGATGAAAAGCAGATTTTAAAACAGAACAGGTTGAAAAAAATCACATCAAAATAGGAGAATTTTGTGATACTATGATTTATAATAAGAAATAGACATTTGGTCTTCATCCCCGTTTCTGGCATAGCGCTCCTAAAACCCTTGGAATCTCATAAGAAATAAGAATGATAAAGGTGTCTTTTGTTACGTTAGTGATGTGATTTTTGGAATGCCCCTAGGTCACCTCAATGTGTTTAACCAGAGAAACCAACCTTGTCATGAGAGGGTTGGACCTTTCAATCCCACCAGCTTGACCTCCCGGGAGGAGATGAGAGGCTAGAGCTTGAATCAATCTCCAATGGCCAATGATTTAACCAATCAGGCCTAGGTAATGAAGCCTCCCTAAAAGCCTGAAAGGACTTGGTTTGGAGAGCTTCTGAGTTGGTGAATACATTGGGGTGCTAGGAGAGGGCAAGGAAGCTCTGCACTCCTTTCCTATACCTTGCCCTATGCATCTTTTCTATCCGGCTGTTCCTGAGTCATATCGTTTTATAAAAAACTGGTGACCTAGTAAGTAAAATGTTTTCTGCATTCTGTGAGCCATTCTAGCAAATTAATCAAGCCGAAGGAAGGGGTCGAGGGAACCTCTGGTTTATAGCTAGTTGGTCAGAAGTACAGGCAAGTGCGCGGGGCGTAGGATGGGGGGGTAAGGGAGGGAGTGCAGCAGTCTTGACCCTTTAACTTGTAGGACCTGATGTTATCTCCAGGTAGTAGTTTTTTTTGTTACAGGATTTTTGTTCCCTTAGTGCCTGGGTTCTCCGTTGCGTCACTTCAAAGAATGAAGTGGTAGACCAGACAAAGAGTGGTGGATGGCAAAGCAAAGCTTATTGAGCAAGAGTACAAAGCTCCCAGAGAGGGAGGGGAGCCTGAGTGGGTTTCCCCCGGAGTTTCTAAGTTTAGGGAGTTTTATGAGCTCTTTTGAAGATCTTTCTTAAGCAATCAGGGTGTTCTGAGTCATGCCAATCAGGGCTTTATTCACGTATCTATCTACTTATTGTGTTAATGTCCATGTGCTGATGGCCCCTTTTTGCTGACATCTGGGGGCTTATGTCTTAACTGCCCCTTGCCCGTGACATTGACAGATGCTTTTGTGGTTAATTGTCTTATTTTAGGAGGTTTTACAAAAGTCATTTCTGCAAAGACTGCAAAGCGGAATGCCCATGTAGTCCTGTCTAAGCTGCAAAAGAGGATGTCAGTGCTGTTTTATTTTAGCTGTCCCGACTCTGTATTTTCTTGTTGGGGACCCAGGCTCTGACTCCCTAACTTTTCATTTGACTCCTAATAGTTGCAGAATTGAGTTGAGTTCTCCGACGTCCTGTTGGTGTTCTGAGCATTGGTGATGGCACTTGTGTGGGGAAACTGGAATACACATTGGAATTGCGTGTTCAGAACCCCCTTTACCTTAGCTAGTGCAAGACGGAAAAAATGGACAAATGTAAGGATGTCAAAAACTTAAACAGCATTAACAATAGGCAGAACTTATGTACCTGGTAATAGAGAATACTTGTTTTTGTCAAGTGCCAATGGATGAATCACAAAAATTGACAATATATTAAGGTGAAAAAAAAGCACCAACACATTCCAAAAACAAAGTAAGAAAAAACCCTTAGTGATTATCACACAATAACACTAGAAATTAGGGGTGCCTGGGTGGCTCAGTCGGTTGGGCATCTGACTCTAGGTTTTGGCTCAGGTGGTGATCTTTGGGTCCTGGGATGTGGCTGCACTGGGCTCCGTGCTAGGTGTGGGGAGTCTGCTTGAGAATTCTTTCCCTTTCCCTCTGCACCACCCCCCTCCACTCACATGTTCTCTCTCTAAAATAAAAAACAAAAAACCTAGAAATTAATTTTTTAAATCAGAAAATATAGAGGTCTTTTTTCCTGGAAAGCTAAAAATTCTTAGTTGAATGACTTGATCTGAGCCATATTTCCAGGAAACAAGGAAACAGAATAAATATTGGTTAATTATATGACCTCTGGAGTCAGACTGCCTGATTTTGAAACCTAGCTTCACTCTTACCACAATGTGTGACCTTGGCAAATTACTTAATGGTGATGACTCAGTTTCCTTAACTGTAAAACAGGGACACTAACAGCACCCACCTCATATGATTGGTATGTTGGTTCTATGACTTAATACTTGTAAAGTGCTAAGATGGATGCCTGGGACCCAAGAATCATTATTGGAGTGTTGTTAGTTAAAAATGAATGAAATACACATAGGAATATGTGAGATTCAGTTAAGATAGTATTAAGGAAAATTTACAGCCTTAGATATTTTTATCAACAAAATTTTTTTAGAGTTTTTTTTTTAAGATTTTATTTATTTATTTGAGAGAGAGAGAGTACAGAGTGAGAGAGAGAGAGAGAGAGAGCACACAAGCACGAGCAGGGGGCAGAGACAGAGGGAGGGGGAGAAGCAGACTCCCCACCGAGCAGGGAGCCCGAGGCGGGACCCAATCCCAGGACCCCGGGATCATGACCCGAGCCGAAGGCAGACGCTCAACCAACTGAACCACCCAGGTGCCCTTTTATCAATAAAATTGAAAGAAAAAAATACCTGGATTAAACATCAGTCTCATAAAGTTAGAGAAAAAACGAAGGAACTAGCAAGAAGGAATTTATAATATTAATTGAGTAAGAAAAATATAAAATAACTAATACATCAACAGAAAGATCAAATAATGTGGATAATTTTCTAGGAAAAACTAATTGAAACTGATTTCAAAAAAGAAAGAAAATCTAAAACATATATTTCTATGTAGGAAATAAAGAAACATATCAAAAAATCTGCCTCTTCAAAAATCATTAGTGCCAGATAATTTTTCACAGCATAATGGTGAGACCTTTACAAAGCAGGTATTTCCATATCTCCTAAGGCATTCAAAAAGAAGAAAAAATTCAAAGGTTTTTTTTAAAGATTATTTATTTGAGAGAGAGAGAGAGAGGGAGCGCACGTGTGGGCACCAGAGCATGCACGAGCTGGGGGGAGGGGCAGAGGCAGAGGGACAGGCAGGCTCCCGGCTGAGCAGGGAGCCTGAACCTGGGCTTGACCCCAGGACCCTTAGATCATGACCTGAGCTGAAGGTGGATGCTTAACCGACTGAACCACCCAGATGCCCCGAAAAAATTCAAAATTTTAAAACAAGCACAACATTGATAGAAAAACCTAATAAATTGCATGATGAGAGCAAATAATAGGCAGATGTTCTTTATGAATATCCATGCAAAAGTTTTAAATTAAAATTAGGTAAGACAATGTAACTACATTATAAAAATAACATAATGACTAAATAGGGTTTATTGTAGGAAGGCAATGATGGTTTAAAATAAGAAAATCTGGTAATATAACTTACCTTGTTAATAGTTCCAAGAAAAAAAGTTATATGACCATTTTCATGGATGCTGTTACCCATTTGACAAAATTTAACACTCCATCTTGTTTTAAACACACCTCCACGTATGAATCAATGAATAAACACTTCCTTAAAATGAAAGCATTTTCTCTATCTAGTTAGCTATTTTAGCCCCAAAGCTAGCATTTTACTGAAGATAGAAATATTTGAGACATTTCTACCAGCAATTAAAATAGAATTAGAGGTATAAACCAATGCAAAATATTAGAACTTTAAGTGATAGAAGGAAAATGACAAAATTAGTCTTTTTTTTTTTAATTAGGTATGATTAAATACCTGGAAAACCCAAGGAGGAGGCTAATTAAATCTTTTTTTTTTTCCCC